ATATAATTGAGGAAGCTGAATTCACAAAAATTTGAATCTCTTACACTTATGCAAATTAATGTGACAGTTCAACAACCCTAAGCTAAATGACAAATGAAATGTCATATATACAACAAAGTGAAGACTTGTCAACCTGTTTGGAAAACAAATAGCTACTGACAAAACAAGTGGTGTTTTTTTAATTAACCGGCAAAGGCCATGGTATGCACTGGATAAACAAGCTAAATTAGCATTGTTATAAGTATAGGAAATTCTCATTCCAAGTTTTAAAGATTCCAGACATTCTCATTCCGGGTTTTAAAGATTCCGGAAATTCTTATTCCGTGTTTTAAAGATTCCAGAGATTCTCATTCCAGATTTTAAAGATTCCAGAGATTCTCGTTCCGGGTTTTAAAGATTCCGGAGATTCTCGTTCCGGGTTTTAAAGATTCCGGAGGTTCTCATTCCCGGTTCGCCGTTCCTCGTTCCCCGTTCCTTGAATCCCCGTTCCTAGTTTTAAAGACAGCCCTAGCCAATTTTGTAATATCCGGTAAGCTGTAATTGTTAGAATCTTTAATTACACGCTCGGACGATACACAAGCCCGTAATTGTCTCTGCTGAGCCTGAGTTACAGTTCCGATTAATCATAGAAATACTGGAAGCTTTACTTCAAGTTTGGCTACGATTATCAGCTAATTCTACTGACTGCCATGAGTAATATGATAAGTTCTGACTTAATATGCCAAGGCTTTTTATCGGCCGTCTGCATATATCTTCTATACAAAATTGTGACATACATCACAAGTGAAACAGCCAAGTCTTGTTCAAACAAACGTCAACTTGGATTTTCCGAAGATATTTTAGATGTTTTCGCTGCGGAGAGATCTGGCGTATCGAACATATGCTTAGCGATATCAATAAAGTCAAAAGAATGCTTAGTTCGACAACATGTTTGCGACGCTTTGATACTCTTGGCCAAACGTCAGCCAATGCTTCGAGCAGTCATAACAACAGCGACGAATGGAGATAAATATTTTGAAATCAAGGATATCGATGAAGTCATTACAATTTTGGATATCTCCACTTCTTATGTCAAAGCTTCCGACTGGCAAGATGTCTGGTATGAATACACTGCAAAACTAAGAGGAAATGGTTTGTTATGGCGAGTTGTGATTTTACAAGAGGAACTTGTAGACAGTCAGGAATATGCAAATACGTTAATGTTTAACTTTAATCACTCGTGTATGGACGGCGTGTCGTCAATAAAGTTTTGCAAACAGTTTATCGCCAACATGAACGAACTTGCGAACGGTACGAGCAGTATTGACCAGGAAATCTCAAGTTTAGACTTGCTTCCAGAAGTCCACCAGATTGTCACACGCGGTCGAATTTGGCATTCATTGTTTAATTTTCTGTTGACTTTTTGCGGCGTACGACCAATATTAAAATTTTGTATGAAGAAAATGTTCGCTCGCGAAATCGAAAAGAGGCCGAATAATCCATATCACGAACAATTTCCGCCAAATCCAGAAGCAAACGTCTCTCGTGCTCCATGTCGGTTGAATGTAAAGGTCTTCAGTGAGAAGGAAACGAGTGATATTATTCAAACGTGCAGGGCTAATGCTTGCACAGTAACCGCAGCTATCATAACAGCGGCACATTTGGCATTCTGCAAACTTCTGGATGGTGAAAAATCGAAAGACGCGAAGTTATCCTACCCATTTGCTATCAATGGTCAGCGCTTTTGTGATCCCAAGCCGAACGAGAATTACCTAGGGAATTTCGTGTATGAGCATGAGGATTCTTACATAAAGTACAGTGGTAATGATGCTGATTTTTGGCAACTGGCAAGAGAAACTACCGAGAAAATTAAAACTGATGTTAAGAAAGCAAAATTTATAACAGAGGTGACCGTAATGAGTGGATTATTGAAGCCAGTAGAAATTCTTCATTTATTCGTAAATGAAAAGCTATTTCCGAAATCGTACTGCAATTTTATATCAAGTTTCGGGTCTTTTAAATTTGACGTGGGGAATAATGGAGTTTATAAACTCCATGAATGTTTCGTAAATAACCATCTTAATGGTTTCAACTGCACATTTTCTCATTTTAATTACACCATTAATGGGAAAATGACCTGGCAAATTGCTAGTAATCTTACAGTACACACTGAACACGCTGAGACATTTGCAAAGGATTGCCACGATAAACTTATCGAAGTGACTTGTACATAAAATTAAAGCCTGTAAAAGTAAATGTAGGGAGCGCTTTCCATCAAGCGTCTAAAATAGTCAAACCGGTTAATCAGTTCCCTTGCTTGGTGAGTGCATGTAAGTTGCTAACGATATAGCTACATGAATGCAGAGATTTTAAAACGCATTATTTAACAACTGTAATTTGGCTAATTTTGTAGTACTGAAATTCAACAGGACCGGTCAGGCTGTTTTTACTGTATAAAGAAAAGCCCTAGATTAATGCAGCATTTTGCGTACGGAAAAGAGAGTTTGTTATATCTAGAGGAATATACTGTATGCATGTGTTTACAAGTCTTGCTGGGCTATAAACTTGTGTCATATATAATCCTAATTTACTTAAATTTCAATGTGACATCATAGTTAATACATATCGATTACAAACCTAAGCTTTACAATATCCCAATGAATCCTTTGCGAAGGATGTCATATATAAGAGAAAAAATAAATAATGGTAACTTGTGTTTGGAAATTATTTTACTTACAGGGTCAGAATAGTAAATTGGGAGATGTTTATTTGATGAGATGTAATTGTGCTTGTCTTTATATAACGTTGCAAAGGCAAAGGGGCTGGGCCAGATTTCCGTCAAAGGGCACTTGTGTGTTAACGCATATTGAATAGTGGCGAGAAATCAAACTTCGGCTCATCACGATTTATCTTTATTACATTTCGGCGTCATAGATGTCGGTGTCTGGGTGTTTTTTTGCCAGACGAATGGGTATTCGTGAGGCTCTTTATTGGCTTCATTTCTAGCGTTGCCTAAAGCAATTCATTAACAAAGTAAATGCAATAGTTTAAATTAAAAGAGCATATTTTGCTCCTCTTGTCCCTAGCTTCTGGCATAACGCATGTGCGATAGCTGCCCCCTCAGTTCCGGCGTCCATGCCGTGATTACTTGCGTGTAGTTATGACAAACAAACTTTATTACCTAAGGATATTTCTTTACTTCCTTAGCAACATGGTATCGTCCCCAGTTTGATAAGTGTAGGGGACATATTTATATAATCCTGTTTTACATTATTTATTTATTTTCAAATGAAAATGAGTAATATGAATTTATCCACCCCACTTATTGATACTGGCAGAATTCAATTTCCCTCATGAGCTTTCTAACTACAAATTTGGGATTTAAACTTCCCCATCCCTCTGTTTAAAACTTTCAATTTTCACGAATTCCAAACATTTTATCGTTTCTGCATGTGTTTATCTTTGGTATTAACAACAAGTTCTGATGTAAATATTTTGATGTGAGGCGATTCGGCATAAAATGACATGCTAATGATATTTGCTTCAGGATTTTATTATCTTTATTTCCTAAGCAACCATATTCCAATTTTTCATATGTTCCATTGTCGGACTCAGGGTTACAGGCAGAATAAATCACTACAGCTCAAAATTGTAACACAAAACTAGTGATTTGCAATAAATTAAATAACTTAAGATCTTCACATGATATAATTCGTTTGCTCCTGAGGTCTCACGCAGCAAGTGCTGCATCCCTTACCTCGTGCCTCATCGTTTAAACCAGTTCTCTCTGGTTTCTCTAGATGAAAGTGCTTATAATTATTATGCATGTGTATAATAAATAATTTAGTTAACTGCTTAATTCGAGCCTTTTGTCAGTGTTCATTTCAGCCGATATACTTTTGTGTACGTCTGCGTGCAAGTTTTTTTTATAATTATAAATGTGCTGAAAAGTTCATTTATGTATGAGGAATAATATCATAAGGAGGTACTCAGGGACATAAGCTATGTTTCCGGATTATATGCACGAAAAACATTCTCCTTGTGACATTACTTATTTCCCCTGCACTTCAATCATATAAAGTTGAGCTGTCTTGTGATGTGTTTAGTCAGATCGTTGAACCGGAATTCGTAACAGGGTCACCAGATGGTTAATCTCAGTTTTCATTATTAAAAGGTATGAAGTTTATCAATTTCTATTTCTTCTTCAGATGTTGCACATCACGCCAAGGGTCGGTTGCTCAAAAAGCGCTTATAATTTATGCTGTGGAATAGCTATAGTTTAAAAATACATTGAGACATCTTTTTAATGATTGAACTTTTACAAAATTATAGCTACAGCTTATGCATTAAATATGCACTTCAATTGAAAATTAAACTATTTGCATTGAAATATTCCAGCTCAAGAACGTGTTTCTGCGGTTAAATGAACCAATCGTAATGGAACATATAACATTCCTCATTCGAATATCAACTCAATTTGTGACTGGAATAACGTGGTCTTACACTATACCGGATTCCAGGGCCGTAGCTAAAAGCTTAATTATAAGGTGTGCGGTCCCGTCAGATTCACATGCACAGTTAAAACATCAGGTTAAGTTGTTCCAGGGTATCTATCTCTCCAGAATTTTTTCATTTAGCTGATCATATTAAAGCAATCGTGGTATCATAATTATTTTTTGCTTGAGCTAGGGTAAAACTCACTTTGACATGGCTAATTTTGATGACTTGACCATTCGGTTCCGGTTAATCCAGTATAGTTTAACATGACTTAAAACGTATTTGAAACCTCAGGAATATAATTACGGTTGTAATGGCATTGAAATGCGGTATCTATACTTAAATTATTTATTATTTAGTATAAGCCCCCTCCTCAGTCTCACGAATCTCTTCAATGGAATGTAGTACAGTATTTGCATTATCACTTCCCCCCCTCTACTAATTGCATGTAATTTGTTTCCCACCCACCCGCAAAGCGAGATCCAAAATATGTTATAAAAATTCATATTGACAGTCACTGTCCAATCTTGTCTCGAGACTGCCTACTTTTAATTCTCAATAATATAAAAATGACCGACATGACAGGTAAATTTAATTTTTTCTTTGTCTTAATTGTTTTAAGAAGTGATTGTTGCATACGTTGGAAATGAAAATTATTTTCGAAGTTATAATTCTCACCAGTTTTGCAGTCTCCGGTAAGCATTCAAATTTATGTTCTATATAGTCTTCTTTTTTATTCAAGGGGGAGAAATAAATATAAATATTCAACATGATCAAAACGTGACCGTAACTAGTGCAAAAATTCAATCGAGCTGTGAGGAGTAATCATGCATAAGCATCAAGTGTATATTATATGAAATTAATATTGTGATTATGCTACTCTGAGTCTTCAAGCGGGTAAGCTGAAAAACTAGTTTGATCACGATGGAAACTGAGCTAGAAAACCAAAGCTCCCTTGTTCGATTCCTATCGTGGTCACGCTAATTTTTCAGTTAAATATGACTGGTTTGTTACTCAGAGCCATGAATATTCAGTTACTTATCCACTTATTAAAAATATAATATCCATACAAAAGAAATCTCCCTAAAAATACGGCAGAATAATGTTCATGGACAATAACTTGAAATATTTATTGTTCTCTATTCAAAGGTCTTTGCTCCAGGTGTTGTTAAAGGTTCATTATATTTTCCTTTAAAAAGCATACATATGATGCCCTAAAAATCACTCAACAAATTAATAAACTTTTTCATGCCAGTGTGTGATATTTTGAGTATTGATTTTCACGTTTTTTGGCCCAGTTAGTCATATCCGCCTGTCAATTAACATCTTTAGTGTTTAATTCAATAAAATGTTCTCGTCTTTCAGCTCGTGCAGACAGTTATTGGACTAGTTGGCTTGACCGGGATGATCCATCTGCGTCGGGGGACTGGGAGCTCTATCACAGCTTTGCGAAAGAAGAACATGGGGTACGTTACTATGCAATGCAAGTCTGGTGATTTTCCAGTGTTGAAAGTTTGATAAGAAATTATTGGACTATCCCGCAATTTCTTGTTGTTGTCCGACAAAAGAAAGGTATCCTCAAAAACTAAAATACATGTTTTCTAGCTGTGTTGCCGGAAATGTAAAGTTAATTAACACAATTTGAATGTAATTTAAGATAATCATAGAATAATTATACTCTCGGGATCACGACATCAGTTTAAGTTGTTTTATACGGTATCCCTGCATGTCCCTAAGACGTTTTCATTTAGCATATCACGATCTGTCACAACGTTTCAACGAACCCAAAAAACGTTTTGACGAATTCAGCTAAAAATGTGAACGTTTAAAGTCGAGAATACGAACGGATAAATAAACGTTCAATCTGAAGCCGTTTGAACGATTTATGTTTATGAACGGTTTTAACGAATTAGTCTGAACGCCTGTTGCGCGTATGATTGACGCAAGATATTATTGACTAATAGGAAATATTTTCAAACAGGTAACATGTGTTGGCGCAAGTATGCGTGTACATATAAATAGCTATACCTTCATTTGAATGTTTTACTAAATTTATTAGCTAAACTACCTAAATCACATTATATTATACTTTATATACATATATACATTTGCATTTTGCATCAAAATTCGGGTTTATTCGTTAGAAAGCCTTCAGTTATTAGTACAAATTATCATCGTTATGTCAAATTAATCAATGCATCATCTGTAACTATACCCATCTGTTTCGTACCCTCGTTGTGGGACACTACTTCATGCGAAACATCACAATAGACAGACGATTAATCTTTAATCTTGTACTAACTGTAACTCTCGTACAGGCGATATTATAATAGATCGTTCAATACTTCAATATTCAACAAATATATGCCGTGTATGGTTCATGACTGTACAGATACTACAGAGTCAACTATAAAAACAAAGTAACACTCCAAGTTAATAAATATAAACGTTGTATAAACAGCCATCTATTGCCGTACTTACAATTTCGTGGATTATCCGTCCGTTAAGTTACGATAATACCAAAATATTATAGCATAGCATGACTAAATAAAAGTTACGAGTACTAATAATCCCTAATTCCATGGGTATTTGTGCATGAAATTAATATTTTTGAGGACAGGGGCGGATCTAGGGGTAGTCACACCAATCACGCGACTAACGTAAAAATTCCGCACTAATTTGATTCAATGAAAGTGAAATAATATTTATTTTTCTGAACGCAGACCAGTTGTAAATTTGCAGCGGCATAATTAATTTTCTGGCCGAATGAATTAAATTAACACTGATCTCTCTTGATTTCCCCGCTCTGAATTCAAATTTCAAACTGCACAATCGTGATCGTTCTGGAGGTTGGTTAGGGGCGTTTCTGGTCAATCTGATTGGCCTATTCGGTGGTTTCCAGGGAGACAAAAATGGTGATCGTTTTGGAGGTTTGGTCTGATCCTTTTAGAGGTTGGTTATGGGCGTTTTTCATCAATCTGATTGGTCAAATCGATAGTTTCCATGGCGACACAAATTGTGATCGTTTTGGAGGTTGGTCTGATCAGGGCGTCTATAAGATAGGGCGGCGAAACGCACGGATGGCGTGTTGAAACATGTGTGATGCGATTTTAGGACTGGGACGGGGCGGTCGGCGAAAAATTCTCGAACGAAACAATATTTACTTGGTTTTTAACAAGCTCGATTAAAACCACTCAATCTCTGAAACCATAAACGCGATATCTAAAATAAGATTTCTCCTGTGTAATTTATAACTCTTTCTATTAATATTGTGTCTTAAAATTGTTTCTTCAAAAGTTAACTGACCGAATTTGTCAAATTAAAACTACGGATACGCACGGCTACTTGGTATGTTTTTAGATGTATCATACACATTTTGATTTTTCTCAGTGAGGAAAATCCCCAAAAGCATTATACTTCAAGATTTGGTGTACAGAATATTGACAAACATTTGTAGCAAATTTCACTACACAACGTTTTGAACCTTTTTTGCAATCATTTGTAGAAGTGAACGTATTCAAACTTTCTACAACAAAATTGTTTTCACGGCTGCGAGGTCGGAAAATATCAACACAAAATCCCTTTAAATTATATTATATACTTAGATAACGTTCCGAATTGAAAATATGATATGTTTTTCTTTCGTCATGGCAATGTCGACCTGGCCAAGCTAAAAACAAAACAAGAAAATGCTAACTTACTTGCAAGAGCATTAGACCGCGTCGCAACAACGTTTTCGAATTTTCAATATACAAAATTTCCATTAAAAAATTGAAGACCTTGCCATAGCTCCTAAAGCTGGAAAATTTAGAAAATAACTCCCTTGTTCATTAACATCGATTCCACGTGCAAATGGTTGCATAATGTTTTGAACCTTTTTCACAATTTTCTCTGGAATACGACAACCATAAAACGGAACCATGTTTACAAACTTGTCTTGGTAACCAGCGGACTGGGACGAGTATAAAAAACACGAAGAAACCCTTTCAAGAACAGCAATTAACTCCTTTACGTTGAAATTAACAGTATTTCCAACTGGAAATGACGAATTTGTGTCATTTGTTGCCAGATCAGTGTCATCCAAACTTATAAACATCTCAAGTTCTTCGTCATCTAAGTAACCCGCCGCCATTTTGAAAACAGTTTTTCGAATCTTCATGGGGGGTCCGCACATCACACATGTTTCCACACGCCATCCGTGTGTTTCGCCGCCCTATCTTATAGGCGCCCTGGTCTGATCTTCATTTCTTATTGGCTGTTTAATTCCTGACCGATCACGACCGATCAAGCGATCAGAGTCAGACTAGCCACCTTCGCAGGCATCTCTTATTTATATTATGCATTTATATTTGACCGTGAGTAATATCACCGATCATGACCGATCAGAGCCCGTGTTTTGCAATCGAATGTACAGTTCTTTGAAAGGGAATTCAAAAGAAAAACCGATATACAGTTTTAATGCGGGCGCTATATTCATGACACTATTAAATAACATGTCGTCGAGAGATGGATGTTTTCGTATTAAATATACTCGCATGTGTTCGACGAATTGAGAAGTGTACTGTTATAAGGTAAATTATCCAATGTTGATGTTTATGTAAACTATACTCTGTAATTCTGATAATACTATAAGTTCATATAAACAATGGTCCGATAATTTAACTATGTTATCGTTAGCTTATATATTTTACCTAGGCTTTGAGGCTGCTGTAGTGTAATAATCTGTAATTTGCAGTTTGAAAGATTTAGAAAGCTATGGATATTTGCGAAATCATTATAATATATAAATATAAAGCAATTTCGCTTTGACCAAATTCGATCAATGATAACGTAATAAACCTGTGTTCTTACATTTCACTAGACAATAACATTTTGAGCTGAAAATTTCTTGAGAGGTCTGTTCGAAGGGGTAAATTTCTACCATTATTGAAATTTGACTATTGCTATAAAAACATGCATTTTATGCCCACAAAACGTCCCTTTTTAAACCTTCCATTTCAGTGCCTACACAATGTTTTGTGTGGCATTCAATAGCTGCATGTGCCCTAGGAATTTAGCAGACTATAACCTGGCATTAAGCTTGGAAAGCCTCACAAATTTCATAAATCTGGCGGGGGGAGGACGATTGGTGACGAAAATTGGCCTACGAAAATTTTGACTAACGTAAAAAAAATCCTAGATCCGCCCCTGTTTGAGGACCATAATTTATGTAGGTATTTTGTGGCATAATTTTGATGCAGAATTTTCTTGTTCGGTCCAGAATTTGAGTACCTTTTCCAAGGCCTTTGTTTGACATCCTGAACATACAGTGGCGTAACCAGCACGATAAGTGTGTGTGTTGGGCGGTGAATATTGCGGTGAATATTCATATATCCATGCAGTTCTCCCCGACAGATTTCTTTTGTAAGTGCAATGGTAATTATTCGTCGGGCAGACCTGAATATCAATTTCGCCTTTCCCTATTGTGCTCGGCAACTTTTAGGCAACTTTTTAAAATTTGAATAACCAGGGGTGGATCCAGCACTAGTGCACTAATTTGCATTACAAAACAAAATTGCTATTCTGACCAGTTTTCTTGTGTCATGCAAATTAGTGCACTAGTGCTGGATCCACCCCTGTGAATAACTGTTCTGTTTTCCAGCGACCTGGAGCAACTTTTGCTTTTTTGAGTAACAGGGAGCAACTTTTAGGCTTATACATGATCCATACTGCTAATTGCGCACTAATAATTAAGTAAAATATCGACTATTAAATTAATTATTTATTCACTGGCACAATCGGGAAAGGCTTAATATTCATATTCACCGCACAATTGTAGTCACTATAGTTACGCCCCCGATTCCTGAACTCCAGTGCCTCTAGAGTTTCTTACTTGTGTGCGAAAAAACATTTCAAAGTTTTTCTTTTAATTTTCAGATGAAACATACATAACGTTACAAAATATATACATACAAAATATACCTCAAACAACCAACATATGCAGTAATTTATTCATGCTGAAGTGTGTTGAAATATTTTCACTGGGTTTCTTATTGTATATAGCCTCCTTGCAAAGCCGGTTTTGAGCCTGTTGATGCAAACTGCAGAGTAAAGGGAAGCAATATGCTCTGGTATGAAGCAAATCAAAACATTTCTATTTTAAACCGATGTACACCAAGGGGATTCGCATGCGTAAACAGCGAAACTCAAAGTTGCAAGGATTATGAAATCCAGTTCCTGTGTTACAAACGTAAGTAACAAGTAGAGATTTTGCCCTCTTCGGTACACAAAAAATTCGCATTTTTTTACAATTTTAAGTATACGAATTAACCGGAAAGATATGGGAGGCATTACTATCATAAAAGGCGTAAGTTCATATCAACATATTATGCAATCTCCAACTCACAATTTAAGAAAAATTATCGACTGAACTTTAGCCCCTGTAATTTGTCACGTTCATTATTATAATTATACACATGTTTCCTCCTATAATTAGCATTGTACACATGGAGCAAATGTATTGGTCGACAAGGATGCGGTGTATTTAAAATAATTTACAATCCACACTTTAACTCGCGATTTATTATATCTAAAACGCTCGACTGCGCTGTCGTTATAAAATGATAAATATGATAAAAACGCTTATTTGTTTTACTTATAAATTACATAGTTATGTAGTATTTACGGATAATATTTGATGGGATTAAATTAATATTGTTAATTTCAAATTATCAAATCAAAATCTGCATTATATTGATTAAAAATTACGTTGTCCAAAAGCAAGTGTATGACTGTTATTACTCCAGTTAAATGTTTACATCATCTGGAATATTTTCAGCTCCTGCTGATGTCAACATTTATTGGACTCATTGGCTCGATCGCGATGACCCATCTGCATCAGGAGACTGGGAATTGTATTCTGGTTTTGTCGATAGAGACAATAATGTAAGTTTTAAGAATACTTACTACAAATTAGCGCTTATATTCATGTTTGGCTTTAACTACAAAAATATGTTATTACGATAAACCTAAATTATTACCAGATGTTGTCACATCTATTATACTATAATTTGCATTTCAATCATTGACATAATAACAGTCCATTTTTGCAGTAAAATACATAGATAAATACAGCCTGAGTAGGTAGCCACATACCTGCATGCTGTTATTTGCCGTAAGTTGCCTGAAGTGAATCATTTGTGTTTCTTTTTGGAGTAAAATGCTTCCTTTGGGAGTTCAAAGGCCGATTTGGATGTTGATGGGGAAGGGGATAGCTCCATCCAGCTATACAGAGTGTATCAAAAAAAATGTCCAAAATGTAAAATTTTCGTTTTTCAGGATATTTTGCAGAATTTGGCAAATTTTTGTGTTCCTAGAGATAGTTAAGACTTATCTGGTATACCTAGGCCAAGTTTGGTTTTTAATTAACAAAATTATGCTACCGGGGGGGGGGGGTTCCTTCCACTGATATTGAGAGGGCTTGCGCGCGAAAATGTGAAGCTGAAATTGAGATATTATTTAGCTGTCTAAAAGTAAGAAAGCTTTTTAATAAACTGTCAAAGTTTCAGAAGAAATAATGCATACTGGGAGCAACTCGCGACCCCTAAAGGTGACAAATATTTCATTGCGCGCAGTGGATTAAATGCATCGTTGATTTTCGCGTGACCGATCTCATGCAAGGCTGTGCAAATGAATAAATTAAAGCGAGAAACTGAACAAAAAGACGAAACGATTTAATAACAAGATTTTTATTCGTGATGTTAATCCTCGACATTTCCACCATTTCTTTCTAAGCAAACTGCGGCTCCTTTGAGCATGGTAAACACTGAACGGCGAACAGTTCTGCCTCAAATTCTCCATTTCGTTTGAAATTCTTTCTTGCAAATCGCCTACGCTCCCACCGGCAGATCTAGGTGAATGGACAGACAAACGGTTCGCTGTTCAGTGTTTACTATGCTCAGACGAGCCGCAGTTTGCTTAGAATGAAATGGTGGACATGCTGAGGATTAACATCACGAATAAATCGCTTTGTTTTTATGTTCAGTTTCTCGCTTTAATTTATTCATTTGCACAGCCTTGCCTGAGATCGGTCACGCGAAAATTAACGATGCATTTAATCCACTGCGCGCAATGAAATATTTGTCACCTTTAAAGGTCGCGCGTTGCTCCCAGTATGCATTATTTTTCCTGAAACTTTGACAGTTTATTAAAAAGCTTTTCTACTTTTAAACAGCTAAATAATATCTGCATTTCAGCTTCACATTTTCGCGCGCAAGCCCTCTCAATATCAGTGGAAAGGAACCACCCCTCGGTAACATAATTTTGTTAATGAAAAACCAAACTTGGCATGGGTATACCAGATAGGTCTTAACTATCTCTAGGAAAACAAAAATTTGCCAAATTCTACAAAATATCCTGAAAAACGAAAATTTTACATTTAGGACATTTTTTTTGATACACCCTGTAGATCTTAGAAGTGGTGAATTTTTCCAGTTCAACATTTTAGACTGATGCATATGAAGAGAAATGGTCCATTGGTAACTACTTGGGTTTTAAAAAAAATTCCATGTTCGATCAAAAATGAATGCCTCATTTTACCTCATTTTTTGAAATAAACTGTTAGGCCCTTTAAATGGGTATAATTTATGAGGTTTTCAGTTACGAGGGCGATACTCATAGAGGGCGAAAACATGCGAGGGGTTTCTACATATAATTTACATACTTATTTTTGTAATTTCACTAAATCTAGTAACGAATCTAGTAACCAAGTGAGATCCAGTAACCAATTATTGAATTTTTCTCTCACTTTCTACTTGTGCAGCCTCCTTGCAAAGCTGGTTTTGAGCCAGTTGGTGCAAACTGCAGAGTAAAGAGCAGCAATAAACCCTGGTATGAGGCAAATCAGCAAATTAGATCTTCCTATCGATGTTCATCGACGGGATTCGCTTGTGTAAACAGCAAAACCCAAGTATGTGAAGACTACGAAATCCAGTTTCTTTGCTACAAACGTGAGTACAAGCCACCAAGCCACAAATTTTGAAAACTTTCTTCTGTTAATATATAGGGGAATAATTTCTCTTGTTAAATGACGTTGAACACATGCAGTTACAACAAAGTTGCGTTTTTCATTGTTATCAACAGCATGTACAAGATTATTTCAGAGCATGCGCAGTCCACCATATTGGTTTTCCAATCAGCGAATAAAATTGCCTCCTGGTATCCATCATGCCATTTACGGCATATATCATCCCGGCACAAATTCGACTGAATATTTAATCCTTATACAATGACACTATATAAATGGCTGCTATAATAGGAGTATTTGCTCTCAAATGTCTCAGCATGTAAGCTAGTGATTAAAAAATTGATACATAATATATATGTACATGACTGACTATGTTTGTTATTGTTTATGTGTTATTCAAATAATTTTTGTGACTAAAGTTGCAAATCAAGCACAAAACTTTGACTTGCTGTTTGGTTTTTTTTAGCTTGACAAGAAAAGCTTCAGCAACACACAATCCCTTCTTCACAATGCATGCTGATAATTCGATGAATGGTTTAATTTTAAGTTAAAGTGCAGCCATGTAATTGTATGCACTTTTTACAAAGGAATTAAAAGGAGAGATACAGCTTTCATGCATGCATGCATGCTAGCTGTTCTGAAATTGTATTTGTAAGACTATAATATGATGGCATGTCATATGGCATATTCGATACACGCTCATTGCAATAAACAGCTCTACCATTCCAAGGCAATTAAGACTAATCTCTGCGTTCAGAGAACAAAAATTCTGTTTAAACTCTCATAGTGTAAACATAACAATATCATTTTGACTACAGCAGCTTTTGTCGAAAGTAAATTGATGCATTAACTCGTATTTTCCGAACGCATTGAATCTCAACTACGCGACACTTCGATAAGTTTATCGTAACAATGATTTGCAAACGCATCTGCGTGTTCACTGTGAACTGTAAGATTACTTGGAATTTGCCAGGTCATTTTCCCGTTAATTGTATGAATGAAATGAGAAAATGTGCAATTTGAACCATGCACAAGATTATTTATGAAACATGCGTTGAGTTTATAGTTTCCGTCATTTTCCAAGTTAAAAGATCCGAAACTTGAGATGAAATTGCAGCTGGATTTAGGAAATAGTTTGTCATTGAAAAATAATTTCATCAATTCTATTGTTTTCATTAATCCACTTATTACAGTCAGTTCTGCTACACATCCCCTTCCCTTGACACAAGTTTTAATTTCCTCGGTAGTGTCTTTAGCGAGTTTCCAAAAGTTAGAACAATCGCCTGCAATGTACTTCATGTGACAATTTTGTTGAATATACACAAAATGTCCCAGATAATCTTTGTTTGGTTTGGGATCACAAAAGCGCTGACCATCGATAGCGAATAGATAGTCTATTTTCGAATCTTTTGATTTTTCACAATCCAAAAGCTTGCAGAATGCCAAATGTGCCGCTGTTATGACAGCTGCAGTTACTGTGCAATTATTTGCCCTGCATGTTTGAATAATATCACTGGTTTCCTTCTCACTGAATACCTTTACATTCAACCGACATGGAGCACGCGTGTTAATGGATTTTGGATCTGGTGGGAATTGTTCGTGATACGGATTATTCGGTTTCTTTTCCATTATTTGAGCCAAAATTTTCTTCATACAAAATCTTAATATCGGTCTTAGGCAGCAATAAGTTAACAACAGATTGTACAATGAATGCCAAATTCGACCGCGTGTGACAATCTCGTGGACTTCTGGCAACAATTCTAACGATTTGCTTCTTGAGATTTCCTGGTCAACACCGCTGGTACCGTTCGCGAGTTCGTTCATATTGTGGAGAAACTGTTTGCAAAACTTTATTGAAGACACGCCATCAGTACAAGAGTGTTCAAAGTTAAACATTAACGTATTCATATATTCCTGAGTGTCGAATATAAACTCTTCTTCTAATATTACAACTCGCCATAACAGACCATTTCCACTCTTTCTTGCTGTGTATTCAAACCAGACATCTTGCCAGTCTGAAGCCTTGACATCAGAAGTTGTAATATCTAACATTGTAATGACTTCATTGATATCCTTGATTTCGAAATATTTATCCCCACTCGTGGCTGTTGTTATGACTGCTCGAAGCATTGGCTGACGTTTGGCCAAGAGTATCAAAGCGTCGCAAACATGCTGTCGAACTAAGCACTCTTCTGACTTTATTGATATCGCTAAGCATATATTCGATGCACCAGGTTTCTCCGTAGAAAGAATATCCATACACTCTTCAGAAACTCCAAGGCGACGTTTATTTGAACGAGACCTTGCTTGTATTTCATTTGTTTCACTGGTGAAGTATTTCACAATTTTGTAAAGAACATATATGCAGGCAGCTAATAAAAAACTCCGGGCTATTGAATCAGTGCTTGCCATATCAATACCAAAATATTAAATTGAACCTCGTAAATTAAACCCTACGTTTCGCGGTAAGTATTGCTCTTGCCGTATTGCTGAACTCGATTGTTAGCGACTGTTGACAAAACACTGAATTTGCGTAGGCGGACGTCTAAATAATTATGCATTACATGATTCGTCAATTTCCGCTTACGCGAGATTGTGTAAATTAAGTTACCGAGTTGCAACTTGAAATGCATCGTTCTCTTTTTAAAGGATGTATAAATGAGCCAGGAATGTCAAAATGTATAACTGCCTGAGACTTCTATACAATGCAGTAAACTGTAAAATGAAGTGTAGTAAATTTCACTCGTTTTTCTCTAGCTGCTGCAATCAACAGGCAATTTATGAATTTAATTTTTAAGTATAATGTTTAATTTTCAACATTCAAAACATCAAAACATTACGAAATCTACTAGTGTATGAACGCCAGATGTTTTAGACTTTTAGTACTTTTAGTACTTTGTACATTTTGCAGGAATCGCAGCCGAGATGAGATTTGTTTTATCAAAATACAAATTTACCCATTCAAAAACCATTTTGAAGTTCAAAGGAATGTTGTGATGGCTTTTTGCAATTGGTTATTTTTAATGCATGAACTGTAATAAAACCTAGAACGCTAACGGCCGCCATCTTTGAAGTCAAATATGATTTGAAGGTAGTTTTGAACGTTTGAGAGAGCCTGACGTAGAAAACAATTACCTAGGAATGTCTAGATTTTTGTAAAATACAAACACTTGCTAATTTTGATATGAATTGAATGAGAAACAGTGTCCAAACTCTTAAATTTGCTTCAGCTAAGTATTACGTTGAACTTCAGGAGTTCGCGTTCCAGTTGATATTACAGTTAAAGTTATTAAAATTCTAGGTCATGGACGATACCTTTTCTCCTGAAAAGCTGCTCGATCATCGCCATTTCCAATGATTTGTATTTTGTGGTTTTAACTCCAAGTCATTTATCATAACAAGCTATGTTCCCTCAGGGCCCTACCATTAACAAAACCCATTCAGAATTATGCTGACCATCAATATTGATAGCAAACTGGCGGGGATTAGAAAGCAATTCGCAAACCATGGAATCAGTGACTCTCTCACCCCAAACGAGAGCAATTTTCTAACCAAAACATTGTGTTGATTAATGTGATCAAAGGCCTTGCTGAAAAAGGGATCCTAAGAAAACGAGACTCAGTGTCCAACGTTTTAAGCCCATCAATAAGTCAGAAAACCGTTCATGTTTTTTTTATTTATGATTTATTACAAGTACCAGTTTTGTAATAAAAGACTGAATTACATTGGTTAACAAGATGAAAATGTTACTCGACAATAAAGTATGGTTAAAATAACATGATACGAATAGCGTATTCGTGCGAAGTATGGCATATTCGCTCATAAATGTAATTTGAGCTTCAGGGGTTTATCCCCTTTATTGGTCACATGATCAAATTAAAATGTGGATAATAACATATTTTGTCACGTGGTATGCTAGCCTAACCATATCTCTTCTATTAACTATGGTTTAATAAAAATAAACCTGCTAGGAGAGCCATTTCTCCTCGCAAAAAATATCCTAAAACAGCGTAAAATTTAATGTGTCACAATTAATTCATGCTCAGAAAACTAAGCTGCGGAAGGGGTATGCAAAATTCATGGCTGGCAACATATCTATGCGAAAATAAATCACATTACATAAATAGCATATTTATACCTTTCCTCCTACTTGCATGTAGGTCAATACCCTATCATGTAGGATACTGATCTCGTATTCATTAATAAACAGCTCGTACTATATATTAGCCCAAATCATTCGCGGTGTATTCCGTGAGCTATTATCGAGACACTTGATTGTACTTAACATTTTCAAGAGTCTGTTGCAAGGGCGTGACAGGCGGGATCAATTATAAGTGAATGTATTTTCATAATATATAATTCAGTTATTTCGTTTCATCAAAATATTAAAAATTACTGATTTAATTATTCAAAATTTAATTATTAATTATTCAAAAAACATTGTAATAACATATGTAAAGATAAATTATTCGTTTGCAAGAGGTATTTTTCTCGCGAATTTTTAGAACACAACGCAGTGATTTGATTTAGTCCAAATCATTCGCAGTGTATTCCGTGAGCTATTATCTAGACGCTTGACTGTACTTACCATTTTTAAGAGTCTGTTGCAAAGGTGTGTCGGGCGCGATCAATTATAGGTCAATTTATTCTCATAGTAGGAAGGCCCTCAGATCGAAACGTCAAGTAGTCTTTTGTCTAATTTAGGCAGTTGTTAACCACATTAATTTTGATGCTAAGTTATATTCCATCCTGTACAATCGATTAATTTTATAACGCTCCTGTGGAAGAGTTTTTATCAATTTTGTAATATAGTTATATATAGTTATAATATAACAGAACAGCTACGGAAAATTCTTTTTATTATTTCGTTCCATCAAAATATTACAAATTACTGAAATTATTCAAAAAACACCGTTATACCATATGAAAAGATAAATTCTTCGCTTTGGAAGAGTTATTTTTCCTTAGTCGACAGTCCCTGTTTCTTTTCCAATTTAATTGTTTTGTGCTCCCAGATTTTTTTGAAAAGCGAGCGTATTTGAATCATTGAGCAAAAAATCATCGAGAAGTAATCCCATTAGGAATGCATATTTTTATGAAAAGCATATGAGAACATCGGCAATCTGACTTAAACTTCGAAAAATCATTATTCGTATATAAAAATCGTTTTGATATTTAGTAGAAAAGAGCATATTTACACCGTTTCTCCTACTTGCATGTATGTCATTACCCTATCATGTAGAATACTAATGCCCTATTCATTATTGTTTAAACAGCTCGTATCCGAGTCCAAATCATTCGCGGTGTATTCCGTGAGCTATTATCGAGACACTTGACAGTACTTACCATTTTCAAGAGTCTGTTGCAAGGGCGTGATCAATATAGGGAAATATTTTTGAGACCGAGGGAAATATTTCCCTATACGGAGCGACTAAACTGGTAAATAATAGATTAATTTTTTTCTTGCGGTCTGAATTCATATTTTAGCGTTTCGTTAGTGCTTTTAAATCTCGCGCGGTCCGTACGGCCTCATACGTACCGCTTATACTGACCATTTTCAAGAGTCAGTAGCATAGGACGTGAAAGGCGCTAAAATGTTTAAACCAGCACATCCAACGTTATATTTTGCAAATGAGCCGATTGAAATAGTTAGTAATCATAAGCATTTAGGGGTTGCCCTATCTTCAAATCTTTCTTGGAGAGCACATATATTCAATATTTATGAGAAAGCGTCAAAAAAACTTAATCTTTTAAAAAGTTTTAAGTTTAAGTTAAATAGAGAGACTTTATCAAAATTGTACAAGTCTCTTATCAGACCAGTGATGGAATATGCTGATGTTCTTTGGGATGGTTGCTCTGAAAATGAAAGCGATCTCATTGAGCACGTTCAATATCAAGCTGCAACAGTGGTCGTAGGTGCTATGAAGGGTACTAGTAGAGTACGGTTATTGGAGGAATTAGCTTGGGAAGATATGAAAACTAGGCGATCCATTCATAAACTTATTTTATACTTTAAAATTGTAAATATGCTAACACCAAATTATTTGTTGGATTTACTGCCTCAAACAGTAAAACAAAGGTCGGGTCTATCCCTAAGAAATGCTTCTGACTTTTCTCTTTTTGGTGTGAAAACTGAAAGATTTAAAAAATCGTTTTTTCCTTCAACTACTATATTATGGAATAGCACTGATATTAATGATCGAAATTCAAAGTCGATTGGTTTATTTAAGAGCTCATTAACTTCGTTTTTTGACATTCAAACTTATACTGGCTATTATGATTTTTCTATTGATAGGCATTCTTCTATCTTACACACTCGTTTGCGCCTTAATTAATTGTAATGCTCTAAACTATTATTTGTTTAAAATTAATTGTAGATTATCTCCAGCATGTTTATGTGGAGATTCTTGTGAATCAGTCATTCATTATTTGTTATATTGTCCTCGTTATGCTGCTCTTAGATTATCCTTACTCTCGGCTGCTGCTCATATTTATGGTGAAGGCTGGTATCTCTTGTCGGATTCTCAAAAGTCTAAAATATTTTTGTTTGGTTCAGCTGATTTGAGTGTAGATAGTAATAGATGTATATTTATGCATGTTCAAAAATACATTAAGCAAACTAATCGTTTTTCTAAGAATTAATTTTTTACTTCTGAACCTTCAATTGAACCAGCTTTTATCACCTTTGCTGTTGGTTTTTCTTTTCTTTTTTTTGTAATGTTCGTCTTCTCCTGTTGTAAGTGTTTGTTTACAATTATTTGTAATGTCAAATGTAGTGTGAGCCCCTCGATGAGCGTGCACGCTCTTGGGTAAACACTAAAGTCAATGAATATGTTTATATAAAAAAAAAAAAAAAAAGGCGCGATTATTTGCGAATGTATTTTCATATAGTATTTATTCAGTTCTTCCCGATCCATTATTCCAAAAGCGTTATTTTTTAAACACAAAATACAGCTACAAATCTATTCCTACATACAATCGATTTATTTTATAAAGCTCCTGCGGACCAATTTTTTTAAATTTTGTAATATAGGTATAATATGCCACAACTGTTAGGCAAATATGTAAAAATTATTTCGTTCTGATCAAAATATCACAAGGACCGAAAAGGCCACGATTAATCTGTAACGAGATTTTGAAACCGCTGTTTGATATGAGACAATAAAAAGATTTTGCAATTCTCTCTGAACACTTGAAGACCTTGATATTTTCCAGTGTATATAAAGCGTGGAACAGATCTGATTCTATTAAATTGAGAAACGTGGTTGTTACTTAGTTCCAATTAGGCGTACGTATACAACTGAAATATCATATGTAAAAATAAATTATTCGTTTTGAAGAGGTACTTTACTTGCAAATGGATGTTACACAATTGGTATCGAATAATTAGTAGGCAGACCCTGTTTCTTGCCCTCTTTTAATGAGTTTATTTCGGCGTATAAGACATGCATAAGGCTTCGTTTTAAAAAGCAAGCTAATTCCAAGCATTGCCATTGGGCAAACAATCATTGCATCATCAGGGCGTCCATGAGAAGCTGAATTTCGTTATGTGTGTTTATTCATATGGGGTGCGTATAAAAACTTCCGCCTCTGATTTAAAACTTCTAACATCTGCTCTGTTGCATGCATGACCATGTATATTATTAAAAAATCAAATTTCGATTTTTTATAGAAAATAGCTTTTATTGTGCTGGTACTATAATGTGCGCACTGTGTCATGTAGAATATTGATTTTGTATTGCTTATCAAACACCTCGTGAATTGATCCAAATCATTTGCGGTATATTCCTATATAGTTTGTAATAGGGATATGATATCATAACGGAAGGATGTACTAGTTTGAAAATACGCACGAAAATACAAAGGTGTTTAAAAACACTCTACTCGGAAGCCCCTGAACATAATATCTTTGTTCCACCCACACTTATAATATTTTATAAAGCTGAATTAGTTTGACTTGACTTTTACTTAATCAGCTATAGTCGAGTTATTATCAAAACCAGAAGAAATGGGTAACACTTTGTTATTTCTTTTCGCTAGTATTTTTTGTATGATCAGTCACGGCGAAGCAATCTGTTGTGGAGAAATCAAGTCGATAGTGGACAAGAAGATTGAGGCAGAAAAAGTGCTGTGCGCTCCAGGAAACAATCTCCCTCCAGGCTGTTGCAGAGATATTTTGAAAGCAGTTGAAGAGTATAGTGCTGCATATGAAGCTATTTGTGTGAACAATACAGGTACTGTGCAAATATAGTGGTTTCTCCCAGTGGCGGATCTAAAGATGTGCAGAATAAATTACTACAGCTTAAAACCAGAATCGCATTGGTAGATTTTAATGAAAAATATTCTTTTCAAATCTATAACCAATAGCGTTGTTATTAATGTGTTTTGAATTAAAAATCAAGCTGTGTAATTTATTCTGCACACCCCTAGATCCGCCACTGGTTTTTCCGGTATGTATATGCGTGTGTATTTTGCTCACAACTTTAGTTGCAACCTCTCGCTGATTTAACATAACCCCGTTTACACTACGTGCGATATTTGGTACCGCACGGACAAAAGTTCCGGCCATGCAACTTTTACAAGTACTTGCAAGGACTACTTAAATAAAAAGATATAATTTTAGAGGATATTTTGCTTAATTCCTTATAATTTGCCGAAAAACTCTTTCGACAACGCTCCATTTTCGAATTCGAACATGGGTTAATTTTAAGGTATAGTTGGGGTTGTTCAATGTCCGTGATTTCTGGCGATGAATGTCTTTTTAGCTTTTCCCCGAGCCGGCGCGAAGCGCCGTGCGAGGGTTCTAATCCCACCCGCAGATTAGGAATTACACTCGGGTATTCTGACAGAACATAGGCGAATCCAAAGTTGCCCAAATGTCATGGACGTTCAATGGTCATGGTAGTTGTTCGCATGCGCGAAATTTGAACGAAGAAAGAACGGTCGTCTACAACTTGCTGATTGGCTAAGACTAAGAGCGTCAGCATTTTAACTGTCATTTTGCAAACTATTTTTTTAAAAATATAAAATGAGATCATGGAGTCAAATTTTAAAACAATAATAAAAGATTTAAAGATCATAACAGCACAGAAACAGTTGGTGAAATAGGATTGGCTCGTAGTTTATAATCTTTGAAGTAGTAGGTGTCTATATTTTACTTATTCAGTGTTTGCTGTAAGAATGCATTGTTATTTTGACAAGTACGAGCTTGGTATGTCGTTTTACAAGCAGCTAACCGACCGTTTAAGGTTTTATTTCATCGCTTAAACTTTAAAAAGAGTTCTTGGCATTTTGAATAAAATAAAAACTTATAAGTGCGAGTGAGCTTTTACATGTATATATACATGTATATCATCAAATACATCTTATCGGAGTGCTTTTTAGTTAAATGTTTTAAAAAATCTTTATTGATTTTACTGTTTTGTTTCGATAATTCTCGTATTTGCTTACATTGTTAATCCGTTAGCGAAAGTTGCCTATCTTTAATTTGGATGATAGTCGTCGATGACCCACCTTTTTTTCGCCCGCCAATATAATTATGGTATTTATAAAGAAGGCCAATCATATTTTGAAATACAACTTTTTTCTGCTAGTTCCATGCATAGACCCCAAGCCATTGGGAATGCAAAGCGGCAAAATACCCGATTCGGCAATCACAGCATCGTCAACCTTTGGTAGTTCTTATTATCCTTACTTCGCAAGATTGAATAAGACTGGCAGTTCTTGTTGTTGGGCACCAACTGCAGCAGGAAGAGTTGGCTCGTGGTTACAAGTTGATCTTGGACAAAACACAACTGTCATAGGATTTTCAACTCAAGGAACATGTTATAGCCATGTAGAGTGGGCGATCTCTTACTCGATTTCTTACAGCAACAATGGTGGTACTTGGACTCTTTATGAAGAGTCAGGGACTGCAAAGGTAATCAGATAAATAAAACATATATTTTGCAATTCGCTTTGCCTATCCACATGCTCTTCCATTAAAATTTAACGAAATTTAAAATTTCGCGTGGGTCGTATAATTATCAATCTTACTATAATATTACATGTACGTGCATGCATGCATGATGGTCACATGGAATTTTTTAAGTAGTAATTTTATAATATTATTTAAAAGTGTTAAAAAAGTGATTAAAAACGTTATAATATTTTAAAGGGGCTATTTGTTTCTATGTTAACGTGGAATTACGCGCAATATATAAAGTGCATGCTAGTGAAGTTTTAATATGGCAGTTTTTACCACGTGACTTTTTTGCTTAAACTGCATAAAGCAAAACTTCCACACGGACTTAAGCGCTAAACATTGCATTGTTGTCCCTCAGTACGGGTGGACAAATGCGGCCCTGGTTGCATGGAAAAGTGTTACATATGATTCATCAAAGTTTATAAATTTTAATAAAACTAATCCTTGTGTTTTTTTGCAGGTTTTTCAAGGCAACCAAGACCAAAACTCCATTGTTAACCACACATTTAAAACTGGAATCAAAGCTCGATACATTCGTGTGTTGCCGAAATCATGGAAAAACTATCCTACAATGAGACTCGAGTTGTACGGTTGTTACTGAGTAGAACGTGCATGAAACATCCTTAGAGTAAATTTCCAATAGTTGCTTAAAGGCGGTAATCACAGACTGGTTTAGCTTTAATTTGTAGACTAGCTTGAATGTTTAATCTAATAACTAAACAATAAATGAAATTGGCATCTATATTGTTTTGCAAAAATCGACTACTTTAACTATATTTATTATATGTGACCTTCCACAGGAAAACATACGTTAACGCTATTTCGTTCGTTCGAAAATATCGTTCGTTATCCGTTCGTTTGCCGTTCAAACGCTTCAAGCGTTCGTTGAAACGATTTTCGAGATCGTTCATCGTTCGAAATTGCCCGTTCGAACGCTTGGGAAAAATCGTTTGAAAATTGGTCCAAAAGCGTTCAACCGTTTGATTTACCGTTCGTTGAAACGTTTGCCGTAATTTCGTTCAATCGCATTGGATTTGGTTCAACATATTAGATTAAACATTTGCAATGTTACAACTTTGTAGAAGAAGCGCAGAATGTGCTACACAGAAATACTCCCAGAAACGTATTCAGTTCCTTAGTAGAAGACTTGTAAAGGAAATAGTGAGGTTATATCGTTTTAGCCTAATCGAATGCTATTTTGTGCGCTTCATGTTATGGTTGATGCTTAGCGTCATGCAGACATGAAGGCTATTAACATTCAGTGCATGCAATTATTTCATTAGCGTCAAATTTTACGTCGTAAGCTTTCTTTCAAAAATTTATCGTTTTTTGAATTTCGGTAATGCACTAAATGGTTAGAATTTGTGCTTTACTATACTTCTGTAGCTTCCATAAGCCAAATTTCACCGCACGCACAAACAACCTCTCAAGCCAAAATAAATATGCCCTGGCAAGGTGCTAATTAAGTTGCATAATTGTCGGAAGTCTCTAAATGTATGTAAACAGACAAAACCAGATTTTAAAATGAATTGAGGGATTTTGCGTGTTACATATTAATATCGTACTTGTAAACCATGTGTATTATATAGCTAATTTATTTACATCTGATAAACTTATCTAGCTGGGCCTCCGTACGAAGCAGCTACTGATTAAAATATATTCAAAATTAAGGACCGCATCCTAGGATGGACATTTCAGCTTGAAATTCGTTGTTTTTAATGCAGTCTGACATAGCTACAAATTATACAACAATTGAGATACCCTAGCTAATATTTGAAGACATAAATACAGTGACCTAACGCGCGTTCGGTAGGGTTACAACGAGAACTAAGAGATCCCCATTTATTGGGGGCCAGGATAGATAACGAAACATCATAGTATAAGCAAAACGTGATTTATGACAAACAGCGAATTAAGGGAACCCGCAGTACCAAGTGTACCTCAAAACCCCATCCTCGGCTCTGTTCGTTACGCCACTGCATGAATATCATAGCAATTTAAATATGTACGTGCATCTAGTCTAAAACTGGAGCCGGAGCAACAAGATCCTCAGTGCCCCGCTTCAAAATCGTCTTATTTGCTTAAAAAGGTATCTTTGTCTCCCCAGATCTAAGCCATCTGGCTCGATCGACATCGTTGCTGGCATGTTGAAAGGTGGCAATTGCATAAATATAACTTATGGCATAAATATAACTCATGCATTGTAAATATTTATTTAGACTCTTAATTCACAAAAAAATACTTCATATATATTGATATGTGCACATTTCAGCACAATTCACTCCCCATGTATATTTTGGTTGTAATTTGATTTCTCTCGACTTGCTCCTCGAATCGGAAACGTGGAACGCGGAAAAGGCTCAAATCGTATAAATGATACAGACTGTATGAAAGTAATGAACCTATATCAATGATGCATGTTCATTGTGTGACATTGTTTATTACAAAAATAAACTCCGTGTTTTGTGAGGTTGAGTTTTGCGCTATGTTTTAAAGTGCGTGCAGTCCTTCCTTGCGCACAACTGCGCTGACACAAGCCCAAAGGGCAAGTTGCCAAGCTAACGTTTACAAACATTTAAGTTTGACCTTTCAGATATTTTCCTACATATATTTCGCTATATATAATTCATTAGAAAAGGAGCATTGGAATTTATCTTGCTTGGACAACATATCAGCTGTTGGGCAACAGGAAAATTTTCACTAATTTTGATTTGGGCTCCGTTGATGAGAAATTACATTCCGGATATTAAATTGCAATTATGCATGGTCATTGCACCTTGAAGCCTGCCAGCTAGAGCGGCAAAATGAGCAAATTTGAAATGGCGCCTATCAACTGTTTATGCGTGCGTGAGCGCGCGGGTAAAGATCTTTAACAATAATTTCGCGAAGACTGTCCCAAATATTTGCTGGCTATTAGCATCTATGGAGAAGTCAAGGCGTTTTAACGCGTGCATATATAAAGGCTAATACCAGGTATGAACACTAAATGAAACATTAGCTATGATATAAGGAAAGTCATGACTGGGCCACTTTATCAGGCTGGTGCATGCAGTCGATAAAATAGATTATTATCATAATATTCTTAAGGTATAATGATGCCCTTAGTTGCTACTAACAGTACTGTGTATAGGCGACATTCCGCGACAAGCTTGACCGCAGCTAGAGACTATTGCCGCACGGAACATATTGTGTGCACTAGGTAAATATCCAAGCTTGTATTTTAAATATTCTATTACCGCGCAATGCATTGCTGAAATTTAAATGGGGATTCTCATGTGCATAAATGGTTTGGATATTTAATGTAGTAGGCTATTTATACCAAATAAGTTTTGACAGCATGCAAGCATACGTTACTACGCTGGTTCGCATACAAACGAACTTTGCGTATGCGATATTCTGTATAACTGTTATTAATTAATGTCTGGTTATCATCTGTAAACAACTTGACCTTGCGCTAATTAATTTAGTCGTTTGCGCGTCAAAGAGTATAAGCAATAGTGTACAATGGAATCTCTTGTGTTTTAGCTTAACATAAAATATGTATCCAGTAGCTGAAACTCAACAAAACTGAGACGGTGACCAATGACATTGCCTATGATATTAATCGAAGCCAGGCCATTTATTGCAATCTTCGTTTACTCTCAGTTTAGAGCCGTGTTAATAAAACGGATGCATGCATTATGTGTTTATATGTCCTTAACCACCCATACATATAGTTTGTCCGTGGAGAGATTTACAACATCTGTAACGTTGTTGCAAATAAACACGCGCTGAATATTTTGATGGGTATAGTTGCAGATGGTGCATTGATTAATTTGACATAACGATGATAATTTGTACTAATAACTGAAGGCTTTCTAACGAATAAACCCGAATTTTGATCTGCAAAATGCAAATGTATATATGTATATAAAGTATAAAATAATGTGATTTAGGTAGTTTAGCTAATAAATTTAGTTAAACATTCAAATGAAGGTATAGCTATTTATATGTACACGCATACTTGCGCCAACACATGTTAGGTGTTTGAAAATATTTCCTATTAGTCAATAATATCTTGCGTCAATCATATGCGCAACAGGCGTTAAGACTAATTCGTTAAAACCGTTCATAAACATAAATCGTTCAAACGGCTTCAGATTGAACGTTTATTTATCCGTTCGTATTCTCGACTTTAAACGTTCACATTTTTAGCTGAATTCGTCAAAACGTTTTTTGGGTTCGTTGAAACGTTATGACAGATCGTTCACTACCCGTTCGTTATCCGTTCGTTTTGCCGTTTCAACGAAATATCGTTAACGTACGTTTTCCCGTGGAAGGTCACATATAGCCAGCGTCACTTCTGGTGCAATGGAGCTCAGTGATTGGCTGAAAATAACTTTCAGTGGTCCATTACTTTTCCGTAATGGACCGGCATTTTCTTCGTCTCTGAAGATTTTGTACTATTTTAATCGTTTGAAATTTCAATTTTAAACCATTACTTAATTTCTGCCAAGGTATATTCCAGCAAAATTGAACGGACAATGTATACACTAGCTTTATGATTTTTTTTGCTTTTTGTTTTGAGTTTTGTATGATTTCATAATATAAATTTAGGTCAGGTTAGCTCAGGAAATTGTGTACTTGGTTTAAAATAGCGAGGGGTTGCTGCATGCATTTATTTCTAGTTTATGATAAGCACGACTCAACTGCGTTGCACTAAAAGTAGTTTGCTCGAAGGTTAAAGTGCCCATATCACTTGTGGGATCTTTACGGATTTGAACAGGGCTTGAAAATTTTTTTTTATATTTTCTACAACCTTATTGATATAATTAAATATTTTCGAAAATACGTCGGTTGGGAAGACTGGGACTCAGGAATGATTTGCTGTGCATAAATCTCTATAGTCGCTGTTGTCGTATAGTTGCGTACACACCAATACTGTCTCCGCCAGATTTATTTATTTATTTATTTATTTATTCATGACTCAGGAATCATTTGATTTAATTGATAAATTACAAAAATTGCAAAACAGAGCAGCACGCGTAATCACTGGTAAAATACGAAACGAGATCACGAGATGTTTTAAAAGAACTTCACTGGCAACCCCTGAAAGAACGCTTTAAACGAAAGAAATTAATTTTTACGCACAAGATTAGGAATGAAAAAATGCATAGTACCATAACGAATATGTTTGATATTAAAACAAACTCAAGGTATAACCTCCGTAGCAACAACCGAGATTTCAGCCTTGACAAACCTAATACAAATTTCATGAAAAAAAAGCATAAGCTATGCAGCTGCTTCGGCCTGGAATAATTTACCCGCAGAGGCTAAAGACCCAGGCTTGGGTAGCAAGAAGTTTACATCAATTCTCGATCACTATTCTCTAGAATGATAAAAATTTTCGATGTCTATTGTGCTTACTTAAGAGGCTGGTAACTTATCTGTATATATTTGTATAGTATAGTGTGTTTTTAACCTGTAAACGAACGGCCTCTTGAAATCAGGTGCGTAAGGGCCCTGAAGAGCTGCCGTTCTAAAATATTTTTAAATAAATAAAAAATAAAATAAATAAATAAATTTGCAAACACGCCGTCTTTTATAACGTAAACATGAAGAGTTTCACTGGCGATATAGTTTGCGCTTTTCAAGAAAAAAATGCGGCAACGGTGCGTTCCCAGTGAGCACACGACGTCGTTTCGACGTTGATTTATGGTTGAATTTTGGTCGCGACGTCGATCAACCCAATATCGACTTCGTTTCGACGTCGATTTCACAACATCATATCGACGTCGCA